TCTAAAGCCTCAAAAAAAGCGTGCAAAAAGCTTTCCACTAGTTGTCTAGTCTATGTGTTCTCTGGTTAGTGCCACGACTTAGGACTTCCATTAAAGTGAGGAAGTGTCGATTTCGGTCGCTTTGGAGTGTCTTCTTTTACGATTTGCAGTGCACTTATTTTCCTTTCCAGTTTTGTTGACATCTACATCTTAGCCAATATTAATGTTCATATCTGAACCCATTTTCAATGGGAAATCAGGGTATAATGGTTTTGTTGAAATGTATGTAACAGGCAGAAGGAGGCGTGGCAGACCCCACAAAGTATATATATTCTTGATCAGGGCGACGAGCTGAGTTGATTTGGCCCTGTCCGTCTGTCTGTCCGTCTGTCCGTCCGTCCGTCTGTCCGTCTGTCCGTATGTATGAACGCGTCGATTTCAGAAGATATAAGAGCTAGAGACTTCAAATTTTTTTTTAAATGTCAAGTTTATCATTAAAAATCGATAACTCATCCCGATTTTTTATCGATAAAAAACCTTTTTGAAAACCAGTTACAAAATTTTATCTTCTACTCCTTTATTGCTAGAGTCTCCAAATTTTTAATGTATGCTTATATATTATATACAATTTCGGTTTTTGTTAAAATTTACCCCCTACCCTTAAATTCACCCCCTCACCCACACTTTTGTAAAAAGCGTATTTCAAACACTAGAGACTTGTGCTTTGGCAATTACATGCATATCTATGTTATAATCATAATCTGAAAGTTTTATGAAGATCGTACGTCCACAAAAAGTTATTAGGCAATTAAGTTCTCATAGTAAGCGCTCACTGCCGCCCATGCGTGTTTATGATTGTGTGTGTATATGTATGTAATTGTTTGTGTATGTATGTGTGTGTATGTATGTGTGTGTATTTTTTTTTTTTTTTTTTTTTTTTTTTTTTATTGACAAACTTATATAACAAATTGCAAGTTGCCTGGTGGCTAGGATAGCGCGCGGTGCTTGCGGGACGGCCGTAAAGCATTGCTTCGCAAGCACTATGCGCTACCTTAGCCTGGGACAGCTCGTCTTCTCAGTCGCTCGACTCTGCGGAGCTCCATCATCACCGTGGCCGCGAAAGTGCTTGTTAGTTCCCAAGCTTCCTCCGATTCCAGCATGGCGTTGACTAAGTTGTCCGCTCTGATGGAGCGGCCCACTGCCTCTTCCAGACGACGCCTCTCCTCCAGGAACCGTCCACATTCGAAAATAATGTGGTTGGCGTCTTCCACATGCCCTCGCTCGCACCAGGGGCACTCGTCAGATTCCTCGTGGCCAAAGCGCTTCAAATAGCTCCGAAAGCATCCATGACCCGAGAGGATCTGCGTAAGGTAGAAGTTAACCTCGCCATGTTTGCGGTTAACCCATGGTTCAAGCTCCGGAATGAGCTTGTGCGTCCACCGCCCTTTAGCTGAGCTATTCCACCTTCTTTGCCATCGTGCGATGCTGTTCGCCCTGACAGCGTTGAGTCGCGTAGGCCCGTGCGAATTCCGCTCCACGGCTTCGGCGACCAAATACTCCAGTGGCACCATACCGGCTATGACGAGCGCCGCGTCATCGGAGATAGTCCTGAAAGCGCAGCTGACTCTGATTGCGCTCAGCCTGTAGATCGCGCAAATGCCTCGGCTGTAGCTCGGCGTTGCCATCGCTCTTGCCCATATTGGCGCAGCATAGAGGATGACAGACCTAATGACGCTCATTAGGAGGAGACGTCGTTGCTGTTTAGGTCCCCGCGTGTTAAGCATGATTCTCGAGAGAGCTCTACAAGAATCAGCTGTCTTTTTATGCACATATTCTAATTGCTCGCGGAAAGTTAATCTTGTGTCTATCATGACACCAAGATACTTTATCGCCCTCTTTGACGCAATGGTAACGCTGCCGATCTTTATATTGGCAGTTTCCACTCTTTTGCGACTGCTGACTAGGACAACTTCGGTCTTGTGCTCCGCTAGCTCGAGCCCAGCTCCTGTCAACCAGCTTCGTATGCGATTGATACTTTCGCTGCACATATCCTCTGTATCTTTGAGCTCCTTTCCTATGGCTACGACAGCTACATCATCAGCAAAGCCAATGGTGTGCGCGCCTGCTGGTAGTTCCAAGCGCAGTACGCCGTCGTACATGATGTTCCATAGGAGAGGCCCCAGCACTGAGCCTTGGGGTACTCCAGCTGACACTGTATGAGTTTGGGGACCCTCACTCGTGTTGTATACCAGTGTTCTTCCTCTGAAGTAGCTCTTTATTATCTCTCTTAGATATTTAGGGATATTATATTGTGACAGCGCATTCAGTATCATATCCCAACTAGCTGTGTTGAAGGCATTCCTTACATCCAGGGTCGCGATGATACAGTATTCCTTCGTCCCGTGCCTCCATCTGGTGCCTTGAATAGCGGAAGTGGCCGGACCGACAACTTTGTTAAGCGCGTCCGTTGTTGACCGGGCCTTCCGGAATCCAAAGTGGTGACAGGCCTCCGGCGCTTGCAATCGCAGTCTCCAGCCTAGAGCAGATCAGTTTCTCAAACACCTTTCCCATGGTGTCTAAGAGACAGATCGGTCTGTACGAAGATGGCTCATCTGGTGGTTTGCCAGCCTTGGGCTTTCCATTTTGCCGGGAACGTCTCTTGGATCAGGCATTCGTTAAATAATTCGGCGAACGTACTTGGGTGCAAGGCGAGGGCTAGCTTTAGCGCACGATTTGGGATCCCGTCCGGCCCTGGAGCTGTGTTGGTTCTAAGACCTCGGAGAACTACTGATATTTCTTCCTCTGTAACTAAAACAATTTCAGCAATTTCAGTGCTCGTTGAGCCCTGATCAGCAGACTCGGACTCAGGGGCGTGAATGGAGCTTAAACTTTCTGGAAAGAGTGTTTCCACAATCGATTTAAGCTCCAGACGATCCGTAGGCTGCACCTGTCTACCTGCGTATAGTCCTTTAACTACTATCTTATATGCCCTGCCCCAAGGGTCATATTCGGCTGAGTCGCACAACTGTAAAAAACATTCTCTTTTGCTTGCCCGAATGGCCTTCTTCAGCTGTCTTCTAGCTGCCTGGTAAGCTAACTGTTTCTCAAGAAACGTTGGCCTACCGCGAGCCCGTTGGTAGCTTCTTCTCGCCTGGATGCATTTGCGACGAATGTCACCTATTTGCGTATTCCACCAATACGTAGGCTCATGTTGTCGCGTGAACTGCTTGCGGCGTAACATGCTGCTATTGCAGGCACTCTGTATTTGGGCTACCATTTGGCATGCTCTGGCCTCAGCATTACCAATTGTACCCAGAGACTGAATGGCCTCTGAAAAGACCGCGGGATCAAAAGTATCTAGCCGATACGACTCCCTCCACAGGTGTCCACACAGGTATGTGTGTGTATGTATGCCTGTGTGTGCGTGCGTGTGTGTTTGTGTGTGTGTGCGTGTTTCTTGTGTAAGCTGAAAGACGCGAAAAATTATTGAAATAGCTATTACTCCAAGGGTTCAGGGGATCTCGTAGTCGAGTAGTCTCGACTAGAGATTTCTTACTGGTTTTTTTTTTTTTTTTGCTCTAAATGTGTATTATATTTGAACTAGTTCTTCATTGATTTTGGCGACCAGTGTTGCCAACTTTTATTGAGCAAAAAAAGCTGTTTTTAGTGGGAAGATACTTTAAACAAGTAAGAACTTTGCAGTCGGGCGTTACCGACTGCGGAATACTCATTCACATCCCATCAACAATTTAGTAGTTAAGTTTCGCTCTAATACTGTAGAATATACAGGCTTTTCCGATTTGCCACGCCCCTACTGGGCGTAGACACCTCATTTTTGGTCAGTTTCTAGAACGAGATAACAGTACCCTAACTGCAAAGTTTGAATGCTTACTCTCAAAAAAGTGAAAATTACAGGGTATTTTTCGATATGCCACGCCCCTAAAGAGGCGTAAAAATTATTTTTTGGGGAATCGATAGAGGAGGCTACCAGTAACTTTAGGAGATATAAACTTTTGCTTTTTGGTCTTGGGTGATCAGCCCGAGTATATATACAAAATTTGAGATCTCTGGCATCAATAGTGTACAAAAAATAGCAGAATTTGAAAAATCACGATATCTTCAGGTCCAATTTACCACGCCCCTAATGGGCGTAGACTTATAATTTTATTTTTAGACTTTATAGAATCATAACATTAGCTGACATGCAAAATTTCAGCATTCTAGGTTTACAACTTTAGGAGATATAGTTTTATCCGATTTGCCACGCCCCCATTGGGCGGAGATATATCCGCCATAGCTTGTGATCTTGGGTGGTCGACGCGGACCTACATACCAAATTTCAGCTTTCTAGCTCTTTAACTAACATGATTTCTGGTATATCGGAAAATGCAATTTCCGATTTGCCACGCCCCTAGTGGGCGGATCGGGAAAATTTTAACACTTTATAAATCGGAGATATACACGAGTGTGTGTTCCAAAATTCAAGTCTCTAGCTTCAATAGCGCCGAAATAGATTGCGTTCATACGGACAGACGGACGGATAGCAAGACGGACATTGCACAAAACCAATATACTGATTCACTTTCGTGAATGAGTATAATGATTCACTTTCGTGAATGAGTATAAAAAAAGCTGAAATTTTGTGAAAAACAAAATCGGACAAAAAAGCTGATGGTTTTTACTTTAATTTTAATTAATTGGCAAGCTAATTGTCTCTGGATATAGTAGTTTGTAAATTTTGTATGATTTGAATCGTAGGGTGACTATCAAATGGGCCATTATGACTTAATTAGAAATTTTTGACAATAGTAGTGTTTTACGATCATTTTTTCGGTTGAAAATGTGTATAAAATAATATTAATTATATATAATTATTTACGGATATGGACACATTTCTAAACATGATTAGCAATAATAATATATAAATGTACTATGTTCATACATAGCACATCTGTGTAAAGTGGTTATAACAGTCCGTAAGACCGACCAAATGCAAATGCTGGGCTTTAAAATTGCTACAAGCAGCAAGAGTTAGAGATGTGAAAAAACAACGATGCATCGACAATCGATGTTTTTGGCGATGTTTTCCGATGTTTTCCGATGTTTTTATTGATACCGATGTTAAGCGATGCATCGATGTTTGACAGAACATCGGGCGTTAAATTTCACAACATTGCAGAACATATGGATACACTGCCACATAGAAAAATTCGCGAATTTGTTTTATTTTTTTACCCTGTGTTTGCAATGCCAAAGTAAGTAAATTGTTGAAAATATATATAAATATAGTTATTTGCAATTACAAATGTATTTATTCTAGAATAACAACAAAGACAAGCTTTTGCTGGAGGCACTTTACAAAAATTGATGGAAATAGCGCAAAATGCAACATTTGCAACAAAGTTTTGAAGACTGCGGGTAACACGACCAACATGAAGGACCACCTGCAGTCCATTCATAAAATAGAACAAAATGTTGAAGAAATGTTGTTTAAGAATTGAATTAACGAAAAATAACGGAATTGGTAGAAAACATCGATACATCGATGTTTATAGCCGATGTTTTACACAACATCGATTTATCATTTTGCAAACATCGATGAACATCGACATCGAATTTTCGACCCAAATTTACATCACTAGGCTAGAGTAACGCACGCAGGTCACAAATGCTCATACATGTAGCATTACTACAAGTGTGTGTGCATGCCCGTCGCGAGATCATATTCTTTATGCGCCTCAACGCATTCATACCCTTCCCATAAATATATATCGAAACACTAACATTTTTTTTGCATGAATGTCGCAAACGATTTTAAGATTTCGGTATACTCTTCACTCAAAAGAAAAGAGCTGGGACCGTCGCGAAGAAATTTCAATTTTTGTGCGCTGCTGAGCTTCATGATTTGAGAGCCCACAGAGAGAGAGTTAGAGAGAGAGAGGGAGAGTAAGACAAAAAACGCAAAGCGCATACATGACCATTTCGTTTGCGTGCTTAGAGCGCACTGATTTCGTCGTGCTATCTTTCATTACCCGAGCCATCCAATACCAAGCCGAGCGAATACAAAGTTGGCCGGGACTTGCTAGACAGATATTTCGGCGTGGAAAAACGTTGCTCTACATGTCTAGTCTATGTGTTGTTTGGTCAGTGCTAGAAGTCATGGCAGCATTTCTTCAACCGTGGCAAGCCGTATCTGTAAAGTTTTACACTATATAGATTTCACCTGACGCTTAAAATTGAGTAGGCATATCAATATTCATTTTATTGCGTAGTTATATTTTAAGAGTATTGACCTGACTAAAACTTCTTACCATTTGCGCGCGCGACCATGGCATGGAAAGCAATGCAAAAGTGACCAAGTTCCTACAATTTTTATTTCCTCCCGAATACGTATAAGCACACCTCTCACTCTAAGCTATGTAGAGTCTTAAGAATTTCCCCACTGAAGTGGTTGAATATTCTTATATTGGTGTTCAATACTTTCAATGTTCTTTGAATAGAATAACTCTAGTATTGGAACGATACTATTTTTGTTTACTCGCAAAATATATACATATGCAAGAAACAGCATTTTACACCATTTGCCGGCAGCCTATTAATTAAAACATATTTAGTTAATACAAAAATTTGTGTACTACAGCTATCAAATGAGTTGCACACATTCTTTTTAATTGCTTTATAAGCTTTGTTAGGGAATTTTTACTTTTTATTTACATAGAATCACTAACTAGAGAACACATAGACTAGACATCTAGAACAAATTTTTTCAACACCGAAAAAATGCGCTGAAGAGACCAAACAACTTCGTATTTGCTCGGCTCGGTCTTTTGAGGCTCAAGCAGTGAAAATAAGGCACGACAAAATTAGTGCGTTGCGACCGCTGTCACGAAATGCACACGTTCCCAAAAGAAGTAAGGCTATGCGCTCTTTTTCCCTTACTCACTCTCTCCCTCTCCTTATGCTCTCTCTCTCTATGGTCTCTCAAATAGCAGCAGCGCACAGAAATTGAAAATTGTTCGCGACGATCCCAGCTCTTTCCTTTTGAGTGAAGGGTATACCGAAATCATAAAAGCGTTTGCCACGCTCATGCAAACAAACTGCAAACGTTTCGATGAATTTTTGAGGGAAGAGTATGAAAGTGTTTATGCGCATAAAATACATGATTTTGCGACGAGCATGCACACACACACTTGCAGTCCCATAGTAAACATACATATGAGCATTTGTATGACAGTGTGCGTTACACTTGCTGCCTGTGCAAATTGTAAAGCCCAAGATTTGCCGTTTGTCAGTGTTGTGAAGTGAGCACACACTTTTGAATACAAGTTAACATTAACATAGCATAAGCATATTTCCTTCTCACTTGCCGACGCTTGTTACATGGTGCCGACGAAAAGCATTGAATTCAGCGCCCTGACCACAGCGGACAGAAACAGTAATCTGACACATTACATTAGTGTGGGTGTGTCAGCATCACTTTCGAGCAAATCGGCACGCCGATTCGCTGTCCCACACTTTTAGTTTTTAGTTCTGCTTTGTTTCTCGAGAAAACGTCACGAAGAAATAGATTACTCCGGCACCAGCCGTAAATAAAAAGTCTTTCACTCTCTCAGCATAAGCGAGAGATAACGGGGAAAATAACGTATTTAAAAGTCTTTTATTCTCTCTGCCTAAGCGAGAGATAACGGAGAAAATAACTTATTTTACATATGTGTATGTATCAGAGCTTGCAAATGAGAGTTGATCGTTTTTTCGTTTATTCTCTTCCTCGCATCATAACCAACAAAATTGTGCAGACACGTCTCGCTCTCAGCGTCACTCTCTGTTTTCTTTAGCATCTGTTTCGCTCAGACGCAATGCAATGACTCATTCGTGTGACGCTCCCACATGAGTGTCGCGTAAAACTAACACGATTTTCCCTCACACAAAGACTCTCAGCAAAAAACACTTTGACTAAAAAACTCAGCAGAAAATGTTTTTGCCTTCCTGTGCATGTAAATACACGCATACATACATACAAAAAGAACGCAGCAATCGCGTTTTCATCCATCGATAATTTACTACTTGGAAGCGCGAAGAGACACATGTAAGTATTTTCTAATGTCTTATTTTGTGATTAGCTTTTTTAACAATATTTTAATGAAATAATTTCGCAACGACGAGCTGCCCTTAAGGCCAAAAATGTAAATATTCTGTTGTTTATCAACAAAAACCAATGGTTGCTGGAGAACTTGTGAAATCTTGTGAAATTTTGTTTTTTTTTTTTTTAATGAAATAATTTAATTTTTATAGTCTTATAATTTTATATCAGAGGCATCTCAAAATGAAATCATGTACCTTATATATATATATATATATATTTTTTTTTTTTTAATTTTTAAGACGAAACTGCTCTAAATATAACAAGAATAAAAACAGCTTGAAGCATATAAAAAAGAATTTAATTATTTGCATTGATTGACATATTTATCCATATGTAATAAAATATATATTTTATTAGATATACAACCATCACATAAAGATCCGATTACTTTTGTATTGTATTTTTATACAAAATTGCACGAATCATTTACATACAATGTGCTGGATGTATGATTGAAATTATTGAGAATTTCTGCATTTCTAAGAATTTCAAATTTTCGATGGAACTATCGATAGTATCGATGGTTCATTCCATCGATGGAGAAATCTATCGAGGGGAGCATCTATCGATGGTTTTGCAGCCCTAGTATGTATGTATGCGATGGGATGATAATTGTCTCGCCACTTAGTGACTAGTGCTGCAAAAATATCGGATCGGAATCGTTATAATCGATATTTTCGAATTTTGGCAAAAGATCGATATGGTTTTCTTAGTATCGATTCTTAGTATAAAAATGGTTATTCTTGGCGTTGGTTTTAACTGTGTAAGAAGCGCATTTATTTAATTTTGCTAAATTGTATCACTAACCAGAGAACACATAGACCGGACAAGTAGTGTAAAGCGTTTTGCACACTTTTTTTCGGGAGTTATCTCCCAGACACTTCGTATTTGCTCGGCTCCTCACTTTTTGGTTCATACTACGAAAATATACGAAAGCACAATCATTTCGCTTCATGCATCCCAGCATTTGCATTTGGTCGATCTTGTGAAGTGCTCACATACATATGTATGTATGTATATACATTTGATTGTGTGTACGCATGGGAGGCGCTGCTCACAATTATGGGATATAACTTGTAGAAGCACTTGTATGCCTGTGTGCCTTTACATGTGCGTGTGTGTATGTGTGTATGTTTTATCCATTAAGAAGTCATAATTAATATAAATATTATAATAGATTATAAGCAAGAAAATTAACATTTAAAAGAAGTGTTCGATATATCGTTTATATCGATCTTTTTCTCTGAAAATATCGTGAATATAGATATTACGGAATATCGATTCTTTTGCAGCACTCTGAGTGACTGTCAAATGAGCCTATGTGTTGAAAGTTATCAACGAAAATTATCATACATTTATGCTCAATATGGCACGATCAAGAAAAATTACTATCGATTTCTCGATAAAAATGACCAAAAACTACAATACAATCAAAAAACAAAAATAGTTTTGTACTACAATTTTTTAAGCCAAAACACGCCAAATTAAGTTTGAAATAAGCTAGAACTCAAGCTATAAGCTTTTTACTCATTTTTCAACCTTTTTGATTTCAAAATTTTTCGAGCGTACAAACACTGGATTTTATACTTATGCTATAAGAGAATTATTATACCCATCATGAATTGAAAATCGGGGAGTACTCTTTTATGAAATGGTTTGTACTGGCAAATGGAGACGTAGCAGACTCCAAAGAGTATATGTATGTATGTGCATATGTATGTATATTCTTTATCAGAATATCGACATAAGTCAGCCCGTTCGTCCGTCCGTCAGTTTAAGCTCGGCAAAAAGCTAAGCCAAAAAAGCCAAAAATTAAATTTCGATAAATATCCAATCTTCTCTGAATTTTAAACCTAAATTAAATATTGGTGTTCCGTGTAATTAACTACAAAACTACATAATTATGCATCGTAAAATCAGACTGCAGCCCAAGAACTACTTCATTACTGCGAAATCTATGCTGTAAGCAGATCACGAACTTTAGGATGTGAATAAATACATATGTATGTGTACATATGTATGTTGTTTACAACGTGTGCTTGTATAAAAGAATTGTAGATAATCAGGTCGTCGAACGGCCTAGGGTATTTCGTTGTCGACCAAGCTTTACTACAGTTCTTTTTTATGTTAAATTCGAAATTAAACATGTAACATTTCTCAGTTTATGTACGTAAGTTTAAAAACAGTTTACTGCCAACAATGTCAACATCTTAACAGTGATCTTTGATAAGAAAAA